AAAAAAAAACAATGCAGCCAAGCAACTGAATTCTTATTTTGGCTGCTCAGAGATTATGCCTCTGAACTCCCTATGTCAGTGGAGAAAAGCAAGAGAAGAACTGGAGAAGTATTCCACTTGTGAGTCCCCACAAGTTTTTGGTGACTTGTGAATAGTAGATGGCTATAATGGAGCAGACCTATGCTGTTCTGGGAGTCTGCTGGTTTGGACAGTACCTAGTAATAATCAGTTACAAAACTGATGGACATACAAGTCAAAGTAATTTTAAGACTTATGTGCTCATCAGATGTACAGTCTGCATAGGACACTGAGAAGCACACCAATTACTGACAAGTCTTCTTCCTGAAGGTCATCTCCACCTCTGTAGACTGCAGAAACTTGTGGATACATCCCTAGCAGAACAAGGACATCAGGTTCTGATAGGGTTGGAATGCTCTTAAAGGGGAAATGCTTAGCCAGTGTACGTGACTCTATTAAAGGGGAAATGCTTAGTTGCTAGAGTAGAGAAGCAGTAACCGCAAGTAGGGTAAGATGATGATAATGAAATAACCAATGAGTGAGTTAGAGGCTTATATGCTTGCTGGATAGACAGTAGCATGTACGAATTAGGAAAGTCTACGTGACCGTGTGTACGGGACTTGGAAGAGTATAAAAGCTGTATGTAAAGCTATAATAAACGGCTTCTGGAGATCATATTGGTCGGCGTCAGGAGACTGGTCTTCCGCAGAAACTCACTTTAGCCTTCCTGCTATGATCTTGTGTTCTGATAATGGCTTAAAAAGGATCAGAGTTGAAAACATTCTGCCACAAGAATAATTTAGTAAGAAAGCTTTACCTCAGATCAAGACATGTAAAGAGAAGGACATGCTCTCTTGCACAGGTGTAAAAAGAAAACGGAGCATAAAGTTTCACTACATGAAGTAATAACAAAACAACAGGTTCCTTCCCCAGAATCAGACCATTTCTTTAAAGCTCCATAGTCCAAGAAATTATTTTCCTCCCTTCCTCTCTCACTAAGTCCAACTATTTCTTGTATTGGCTGCTTGTAGAGTTCTGGACTTTGCTTGCAATAATCATCTCTCTCCCCTTGCCAACTTTACGATACCTTCAGTATCAAAGATTCATCAGCACAAAAATGGACACCAGAAAGCATAATGGTACATTAAAAGGAGAGCTGAAACTACAATTGTGGAGTGATTTGGTAAGATTAAGACTCTGCCATTCAATTTAAGTTCATTAAGTAGTAAACAAGACACCAACACACAAACAATTGGAAAAGTCACTAAGATCAGTACTGATTATGGTATTTTGTGTCCATGAGACACAAAAAGAAACTTCTGTTTTCTTAACTAAAAAGGTCAGTTCAGACCTCAGAAGAAATAAAAGACCAAATCAAAGGAACAACAGCACATATATTTGTTAGTTTCATAAAATGTAAGCTCTGTAGAATACTGTAAAAGAATAAAAAGGAGACAGTAATACACAAATTCCCTGCATGATTCACTATTAAAAATGTATGATGTGGGGAACAGCGTGCCTTTTGCACAACTAGCATAGCAGTGAATCAAACAATGCCTACAACAGTAGAACCTAGAGTTCCCAACTGGGATCAGAGATCATATTTCCTGTTGCACTAAAATAAAGGAAAATGCATCTTAGCCCCAAATGGTTTAGGAACAGAATCAAAAGGAAAAGCTGCCATGAAATGGTAAGTACACACAGACACCTAACTTGCGCAAGATCCACTGACAGACAAAGTTAACAGCACTAAGGAGAAGGAAGAGATGGTTGCATCCTCAGTTATGATGCCAGGTATGATGCCAGATACTTAGTCATATTCTGCTTCCAGTTCCATAGGTTTAATATGATTTTGAGCAGACTTGGTCATGCCAGCTGCAGTGCCTTTTAAATACAATAGACTGTAAACATAGCCTTTGTTCCAAAAAGTCCATTAACAATTCCATGACAGACCAATACAGATCATTCTATATGTACCATATGTGTTATATACTATTTCTGTAGTGATTTGTTACGGGTCATAGCCAAAGAAGCATCCTGGAAAGGCTTCCACTTAGACCTTGTCCCTTAGTGCTCCTTAGATCCTTTAACAAAGAAAAATGTTAGGGAGACAATTTCATAACAAATTGTTTAACATTTCAGTGCATTTCACATTAGCAGCCCCTTCTTCAGGTTCTTCATGTACTTAGGTACTCAAGTTAGTTCTTTATCCAAATATTGTCTATTTTGCTCTTTCTACATGTGAAAAATACTCTTTAACTTTACAACTATACCAGTTATTAAAACCTGATCTAAACAACTGTTACTGAAAGCTTTCTATTAAAGCATTTAAAAATTAAAGGATGGCATCTTTTGAAATTTTCATTGTTAGTTTAACTGTATTATTTCCAGCAAAGTTAATCTAAACATTGTCTTCAGTAACAGTAATTACATGGGCACTGAGTGCTTCTTAAACCCTGATCAGGCAAGAATCACAGCAGCACAGCTGCATGAATGTAAGTGCATGCATATGCATACTATAACAAGAGGGCAAAAATTCTATAGAATAAGAACAGAGAAGGGTATATGGCACTGCTGATATTCCAACACTGAGCTCAAGAGCTTATGCGCATCATTTCCATCAAAACCAGAGTTCAAATCCTAGTGCAAGGGTTTTATAATCTTGCAAGCATATGAACAAAGCTTTGCAAGTATATAATTGAAGCTTACAGTAAAATGTACCTAAAGTTAAACATAACAGCTTTGGTGAACTTTGTAGCTCCTTCACCAGTTTTCTGTAGATGGATTTTTTGGTAGGTTTAGAATCTAAACTAAGAGACCTCCAAACACAAAGCAACATGTACTACAGAACACAAACATACACATATATGTGGCCAAGTCCCCTGGGGTTTTTTTGGTGGTGGTGGTTTTCTTATTTTTATGTTCTACAATCTTTATAAAAGATTAGTTTCATCATACGCATACTACACTAGAGGCATATTTCTACCACATGAATAAATACTTGTTATGTTATTAAAAAAAAATCAGAACATAAATCTTGCCTTTGAAAACTTACCAATGCCAAATGTATTCAAGGCTCACTAAGCAACTTCAAATTTGTAACAGTCTCTAAATTTGAAAAATGCTTTACAGATTTTTAAAAACAGTTTGTTTGACAGTCTCTCTTAAATGTTTAATAGCTTCCCTCCTCCATAAACATACACTAGCTTTTATTTCACCTCTCTCCTTTGACGCTTTATGTTTTTATATTGTTGTCTTTAGAAAAGGAACAAAAGTATCAAAAAACCAAACAATATTCAGTTCAGCTCCTTTCAAGCTTAACAAAATTCTATTAAGTACTCAGGGTAGATTTGGTTGGCATCAAAGATAACGAAGATCTTTGGGTTCCAGGTGTTATCCACACAGCTGTCATACAAGTTCACAAAACTTCCATCTTTTGAAGGAGGCCTCATGTATTTTGAATCACCATTGATATAGTCACCAGTTAACACACGAGCAAGAAACATGACTTTATCTGGTCTATGCAGGTGAGGCTGCAGATTCACACCATGAATTTGAAAAGTATCTCCATGCTTCATGTCCTCTTTGCAGAAACGACTGGAATATGATGCATCTCTTGCAAAATAGGTCCCTTTAAAATAAATAAAAAAAAAATCTGATTACATTCTTATGACAGCTTAACTACTAGAGCATGGATATAGGTATCAGGATGATGAAAGATGTCTGTTCTTTAATGTTCATTAGCAACACAATTTTTTTTTCTAAATCATTAGATTCTAGCAACATGACCAAATATTTTTAGTGGAAACGTTTAGTAGGGAGATTGTCTTGTGATCAGCACTGCTTTTTTGGGCTTCTCTTCCCCATGCTCCCTGGTCCTACCAGCCAGTTGTGACAATTAAATTCCTTACTGCATCCAAACTTTCTTAATTACACTTGATGTAAAAGCAGAGCTATATTAAACAGCTCTTCAGTAAACACAGGGAGTACATCACAAAGAACATACTATAAGGAACACTTAATGTTGAACTGTTAAGATTACAGGACTGTTTTATGTGACAAAACCACTTACCTTTTCCATATACAGCAGCATGCATCCCATTTATTCTCCAGTCAAAATTATGAATACATATTGCTTCTACAAATTCATTACTGGTGCCATGAAATAACATCTGCTCATTAATAGTTGGGACACCTCTTTTCTTCTTTAGTTGAGCTTTTTTCCTACAGAGAACACATAATACAGCATTACAACTATCTATACAACCAAATTAAGTTACTACTCGGAAAACACTGCCAAGGGAACAAACCTAAACAACTCCACACATTCCACTTTCACAAGTGTCTAGATGATTGTAGTTTTTAAACAGATCAGTATTCTTAAGGTATATTGCACTCTGAAGAGTGTGTAGAAACCATTTTCAGAAGTAATCCAAGATTAGAAAAAAGGTCTTTTATACCAATTTTATCAACATTGTTCATTTGGCATTAGCTTCAGTGTGGTAATTTTCTGCAGATTCATTTTTAAAAGAAAGGCATTTTTCTCCCATTTTGTTTTGTCCATCTACTTAAATAGCATGATGGGAGGTATAACAAAGTTAGTGGATTATAAAGGATAATTACCCAGGTAAAAAAGCAAAAATATTAAAAATAAAATTACCTAAATTTTTAGGTAAAATTACTTCAACATGATCATTTCATAATTGTTTTCTGAATTTATGGTTCACATACTTTCTAAAAGAGGTAAGTTGTGCATTGACAGGGTTACACCAGTCTAGAATTTTGAAAAAAAAACCAAAACAAAACAAACCCAAAACCAAACTAAAAAACCCCTTATACTGCAGTTGAACCTAGATTACAGTCTCAAGGTTAGAAGGTCATAGCACGCCTTCAATTAAAGAACAGATATATTTTCATCAATCTTTTTAAAGTGACTTTCTGTCAGCTGGGTTTTCCTAAAATCTGTTAAGAAGTAGACTCTGGAGCTGTGTCTAAATCACTGAGCTGTTCATAGTTATGATCTCTTGACTGTCCAGACAAAAACAAGTCAAAGTGCATCATAGCTTTGTTCACTGTCTATGTACCTGAATTTTCTTCCTATAAAAGCCATAGTGCATGGGGCACTGTGCTACATACTTGGGTTTCTCAGGCACATACTTAGGTTTGTCAAATTAAGCAATCTGCTTGTAACTGGAGTGCACATTTGAATTGGGGAAGTATTCTCAGGGACTACAGTTTAGATGTAGCCTGAGGAAGCCCTATCAACCAGGCCCAGGAAAGAGACAGGCAGCAAAGATTTTTTTATCATATTAATGGCATTACATTGCAATTATGCATTATTTATAAATAAGTGCATTTCACAGAAGTTAAAATCTTGCAGTACTTAGCTTGAAAGATATGTTTATTCTGTTTCATTGTTCAGCTTTTTTTTTCCCCTCCTTCATTTAGGGCAAACTAAAATACCTATGTCTTGGCAACTTAATTTTTTGGTGTCTTTTTTTCTCCTACAACCTCTTTCCAAATGAGACAAATGTCAGTAGAATCTCAAGGGCATCCAGGAGGTTTCACTAATAATGTCATTTGTGACATTTTGTGTCAGAGGCAGAGAGGTTCCAGGTACCCACGTTCCACTCTACCAGCAATTCAACAAGACTCCCTGCATCTTGAGAGAAGTACCTGTGTGAGGCAACACACCTGAGCTAAGGGCTAGTAATGCTGAACATATGAAATTTTTCATTCAGCAGCCGTTTATTGTTGGCTGCTGATCTCTGTATAAAGGTAGCATAGAGTAACTTCTCTTGAAACAGGGGAACAGAACAAATTTATAGAAAAGGTGAATAATCAATTGTCCAAAAATGTTCTGTAACAGTCCTTCAGTATCTCAGAGCATAAAGTTTGTTTTATTAAATCCTTTATGATTTCATAAAACAAATTTAAAATTGTCATTAATAGGGGAACTATTATAAACAGGCAAAAGTGGTTTGACCACTACAATGATGGAAATAATCATTCAAGTGATGCTAAATTTAATACCTGACTTTATCAATGAAACAAAACACTTTCTCAAAACCACAAAAACTTAAGTAGCAATTGTTCCTCCTAAGTAGTGGAATATACTGAGCAGGCTGGGAAGGCGGTTCTGCAGAATGCAGAAAGGCCACAGCAGGTCTTTTTGTTGATTTGAAACAGAAATCAATGAGTCCAACTATTCTAAAAAACGTCATCTTATCACTTTCCACCAGCAGTGACAAGCTAATCCAGTAAAATAAAACTAAGTTGATCCACTACTTAGAAGGCCCTCATACAGCCAGTTCACCCAATAAAGGAGAAACCTAAAGCAAAACTAAATACCCAGAGACATGCTCTTCGTACCTATGCAAGCACACAAGCTGTTTCTAAAGATAGTCAGCAACCTCACTGACCAAACACCATTTTCTACTTGCTGTACTCCTCTACAACTCCAAACTGAAATGCATAAACCAAAGTATGCTAGATTAAGATTCATCTTCTGTTACTTTCACTTTCCCACATGCGACACCAAAAGAACTTTTAGTGAATTTGAAATGCTGGAATACCTACTTCTTTGTAATATACTACCAGGTAATAATTTCTTCACTAGTGTGTGTAAGCCCATCTACTCCAAGGTTGTATTTTAACTTCAGCAGCAAAGCACCTACGCCTCAATTACATACACTTAGTCTAGCAATTTTCCTTATTACTTTTATTTTTTTGATACAGGAAAAAGTTTTAGAACTGAAATGAGTTTTCTCCATATACTTTTATACCGTACAGGTACTAAAAAGTACCTTGTTTTGTAGTTAGTTATATGGCAATACTGTAATACTCCTGACATATGAAATTCTAATTCCCATTCTCAGTTTCCTACCTTAAGAATATTCTAGCACAGCATCCACAGATTCAGAGTTCTTAAACCATGAATTCTACTCATTGACCAGTCAGGAAAACTAGTACACTCTCCAAATGACATCAGTTCCGAAGCCAAGCAAAAAAAGGTCTTCCCCTGCCCCCCTCTGCCGTCTGCACTCAAAGGACATTTACTCTGAAGTCTGATTGCTATTCCTATTCTTAAAAATTAAGATTGGTATTAAGATGGTATAAATACACCTCTACAAAAACTTAATTATAGAAAGGCAGATGTTCAAACACAAGGCCAAGCAGATAAGCCTTAATACTTAAACAAGTAAATATAATAAATAAATTTGCAACTAAGAGAAGGCTAACTCTCTTAACCAAGAACTTAGATTCATTTCTTTATGCATATTCATGATATAGCTTTAAATTAAGAATAATTTACATATCTTTGAAAAAATCATTAAAAATATGCAGATTTTTAATATATATCTTCATTATTTCCTCACAATTTAACTTAGTTCAGTTGGTTTTAATAATGTAATACAACTTTAAAACTGATTCTGATATGTACTCCTTCTTAGAGGCTACACAAATAACTTTTGTCAAATATAACTGTTTAAGATTGATATTACACAACAAGTGGAAAAAGAACTTGGCACTTCCTACTTCTTCCAGGCCAGCACAATATGAAGAGGAAAAAGCAGAGAACTTAAACAAAGCTTTTGTAGCACATTAAACTTAAAGAAATTACATGAATGTATGCTAATTGGATACTTAATTCTGTCCTAGGTTTCATAAAGTTGAGAAATTAAACAAGTCACAAACATCCATTTGCTTTGTTCACTAAAAGTTAGAATAATACAAGCCTGTCAAGGAATTATTTTACAAAAAGCTTAATTTTGTTCTCTTTACTTCACTGTAAGTATCATGCACATCTACCACATGGACATCCTGAACATCTTTAATGCATCAGTCTTATCTGTGCTACATCTACAACTAATGCATTTCTACAAGTATTACATTTCTGCACCTGAAGAAGCTACCTAGTCTTGAAAAATGGAGGAATACAGAGGAATGACAAGTAAGAAAATTTTAAAAAACTAAAAAGTAACACATTTTCATTAATAATAAAAGCAATTAACATATTTCTGCTGCATGCCTTCAAAATTTGCTCCATTAACAATCCTAAGACTGTTGGTTTTAGAAATAATCTCACCTGCAAAAAAACTCCCACAAGTCTAGATTTTGTATTCTCTTAATTCTTTTAATTCGGTGGCTATCCATTGTTTTTCCAAAGAGACTAGAAACTTCATTATATTCATTTGTTTTCTTTTGCAATGGAATAAGCTGGAAAAAAAGAGGTTAGTACGATTTCAATTCGATGCATTATTTCATTATCACATGCTTTTGACCAACTTTCATACCAACTCTTACCTGATATGGCTCCTCAGTATTCACATTCTCCCAGTGTGAAGGCATAGGGATAGCCTCATTTTCACAGATGAAACTTCAAACAGAAAAGGTAAAAAACACATCACATCAAAGACATGAAGCATTTTCTTCCTCTCAAACTCTTGCTCCAGACAATACAGTAAGTAAATAAAAAAAAAAAACAAAACAAAAAACCACACTTATACAAAACTACTTAGGGTTTTAATTCAAACAAAGGCTGTTGTCAGCAGATAAGGTCAAAGGCAAGAGGTCTTATTTTGTATTCAAATTCTGGCTTAGCTTATTATAAATGAACCACAGTAATGAACAGTTTTAGTATACTATCTACCCAAGAAAAGATAGGAAGATAAATCAGAAAAGATGGTCAGAAAGGTCAGCAACGTCAGGAGAGCAGCACTAATACAGAAATATGAGAGTGTAAATATAGCCTGAACATTCCAAACTATCGGGATTTACAACTAGCCTAAGCCTCTGGAAACTGAGCCCTCATTTGAATTATTTAAAAGCATCACGTTAGAAGTACACACTTGAAAATTATAGTTGAATTTGGTTTTAAAAAAACAAAACTAAACTCTCAAAAAAGAGTGTTTTAAGCATATACACCACATACTTAGCAGCTTTTAAGCCTTAAAACCAAGACTAAAAGAAGCAATCTCCTGAAAGTAATGAATGGTGTTATGACATGGAAAGAGATTACTGAATGCAATTATTCAAGAAACAAAAAAAACCTTAAAAAGTGAATTGCCACATTATTGCATGCACTATTCAGCAAATATCCATTGAAAAAACAGCTAATGCTTCAAAAAAACAGGCCTTCTTGAATGCCAGTGTAAAAAGATTGCTACTACATTTCTTATTACAAAAGCCAATTTTTTTTTTTTTTAAAGTATAATCAAGCTACAATTCAGAGCTAAAATTATTTCTAAGAAACTATTTTGGGAAAAAAACCCCACCTATTCCATACAGTCCATTTTACCTGTGGTAGTATCACCTCATAGATCAGTTCATTATTTAGTGAGTATCAGATTTACATCAGCACAGCTTTATATCTAATGACTGATCAAATGGTTAAGAAATTTACAATTTAAAGCGATTAGACTCAAACAATCTGGTTGTTATGATGCAATTCCTTGTAATTTCAAATAATTTAATAGTAAATAATTAAAACATACAGGCAAGAAAATATAACTCAATCTTTTCTGCTGTTACAATAACACTTCTAAATAATTTATGAAGTCATTATTACAATGGAACAAACTACTCCATTTTTTGCTGCTGCTTCTCCACAGCAATTCTGATTCAACAGGTATTTACAGCAAGGGACTCCAATGGCTAAAGTCAGGCACAGCTTTAAGAACTTTGCCAAAGGATATCAGTATTCAGTATGTCTTTCTTCTCCCACTACAAGTTCCTTACTTTCTCAAAAAAAAAAAAGAGAAAAAACAAACTAAAAATTCTTTTGCCACTCTTCTCTGAAATGTCTTCCTTCTTCACTTGACTAGCTCTCCCACCTTGGTTCACCTCTCAAATTGTTTGATGCAAAAAGTAAACAAATATCAACAATAAATATAAAACATATCTTTGCTTAATTTTACTTAGAAGAATCAGGAATAAAATAAAAATAAGGAGTCTATTTCCTTACCTGAAAGCACTGATAGAAAAGGGAGCTCGCTTTATTGGACGTTGCTTAAGCGTAGTTAGGTTGGTTTGTTTCATCACTGAGCATAAAACAAGAGTTAGGATGAAAGTTTCTGGAATTCATCTATAGCATATGAAATATTTAAGTGGCTTTTTTTTAAAATAACATTACTACACCCAAAGCTGCTTGACAGGAATACCCATTTCAACAATTAGCAAATCAGCATTTTTAATAAATGTTTCTAAATACTGGCCTCAGAATCATTGTCAATTACATGAGTTGGCAAAATGCACAACTACTATATAAAATGTTTATTGTTAAAATACCCATCTAACATGCAGCCCCACTAAATCACTGGCAAAACTTCCACTGACTTTAATATAACTAGGATGACAAAGCATGTCACTACTGTCCTTAATGCAAGACATCATGACCAACAGTACATAATAACAGTAATACAAAAATCATTCTTTAGCATTTGCATTTAGAGTTTTTATTCTGGATGCAAAACAAATTTTTTTTTTAAACAGACATTTCAACACAAGTAAACATAAAACTCCTTGTATTGTTACATACTCCTTTATTCCCAGTACATGGCTGTTTTACCCAGTCCCCACTTCTGTACTTGAAAGACTATTATTTTCTTTTATTTGGAAAAGGTTTCTATTTTAAGCATATAGCTGTTCCATAATTTATCAGAAAATAAACAGCCTATGGATAGAAAAGCTAAAAAAAAAATAAAATAAGGAAGTAATTAGAACACACCTTTGAACAAAGGACAGATTAATTTATAATTAGCTACATCCTGTAATATTCTATAATTTACAAGCATGGTATAAATGAGATCTTTACTAGAAAATCATTTTGCCTATCTCCTTGTTATTCTGACAACAGAATTGGCTTCACCTACCTGTTGAATTATTAAATCACTTTGATGCCACTATTTTGCAGAAAGTTTCCTTCAGATCAGTGTTTCTTATACAGACTCTGAACGGAAGGGGTTTTTCAAGCTTACAAACAGTTGCATACTAAAGAAAAAAGGTTCAAACTTCCCAGTCCCATAGATGCATGCTACATACCACCTACAGCAGAGGTAAGCAGCCATAGCATAATGCAATGCTACTAAACAAGACATGCTACTTTATTAATAAACTATATCAGAAAATGTTAACAGGCAGCTGCTTGTAAAAACTCCTATGTACTTTCCAGTAAAGAAGACATTTCCAATCACAAGTTTTTGCATGAGATAAGAGGACAATAATTCGCTGAATGAACAAATGAACTGCTGTATCTGGCACCTTCTATTATTTAAATTTACTCTATGAAAAGATACATACCTGAAAAGTCTAGCATGTAGTTAAATTTTGCAGTAGTAAAAGAAACGGAACCATGTGGGTTTGTTCGGAAGCTCCTTTCAATATCTTCACTGCTAACAGAGCAATGACTGTTTGAATCAGTCTTCAAAAAAAATGAAAAAGCATATTTAGACAAATTCAACAACAGGTAGTTTGGTGTATGGAATCCATGACAGCTAGTATAACTTCATAGGTATTTACCTGAAACATATGCCATTTACCACACTCAGCCAAATAAAACCAGCCCCACTGGGTATCAGAGGTATCCATCTCTTCAACTGAACTTTCCATCTTTGGAAAAAAATCTTCTGATGTTCTTTGAAGCATCTCCTGAAACATTCACACATATACACGAAACTAGTTTGTATACTATTAGCAAGAATGCATTATTTAATAAATTCATAAAAAAGCAAAATAAAGTTAATTTGCAATACTTAAAAAAATCCCTGGCAGGCAGAGGGCAGATTTGTTTTCTTTTTTTCAGGGAAAAATTCTCAGTTTGCTACTTATCCTTTATTATCCTTTAAGTTAGTTAAACATTTTCAAAACTCTCTCACATGTCTGTAAGGCAAGAGCTATAGGCTTTATCTGATCAGAGAGAGGTGCTAAATTTCATACTGATGGTCATATGAGCAAGGCCATATACAATAGGCTCTGAGTTACATACCGCTCAGGAGCAAGGTGTTGGGGTTACATTTGATAGCTTAAGAAAACATCTACTAGGTACTCAGCAACAGCAAACAAATCAGACTGGGTATCAGAAGTTGTTAGAAAAAAAATTCAAAACCAAGACAAAGAATATAATTATTTAACTGTGCAAGTGCATGAAGGCTAGTTTCCCCGCAGTGTACCCACTTGAAAATGACACAGTAAAATTACTGGTACACTGTACTTGTAATTACAGAGAAGGTTCACACCAAAAGCTAGAGTGGCTTCCACACAAGCAGTGACTACCATAGTTGGGGTTCTGCAGGATGAAAAAGGACTGAGGAAAGGAGATAGCAGAGGTCTATAAAATCATGACAAAACTGAATAGGGAATAACGAATCACATTTTCTTCCAACATAAGACGACACCTATCAAAGGTTGCATTTGTCAAGTTCAAACCAAGTGAAAGAAAAACTTCATAAAACAGATGGCAATTTATGGAATTCCTTTTCATGGTATGCTGTGGATGCTGCAAATTTATGCAAGTTCAAAAAGCACATCGACAAGTTCAAGCCTACCAAGAGCTATGCTGGAATATCTTTAGAAGAACAGTCCCTGCCATATTTCAGCTCCTTCTTCATTCATCAATAAAATCCTGAAAAGTCTAAAAGTACTTGACCTGCATATATCTAATATGCCAACTCTGTCTGCCACACACCCCCAAGCAAAAGTTCTAAGTAGGTTGAGGGGAATCTTTCAGAGAAAGAAGCTTGCCCTACTCTCAGAAAAGGTCAGCAATTCATCCACTCAACTGCTTAACCAAGACTGGCACTCCTCCCAACAATGCCCTCAACTTATCTTTCACTTCCAAGAAGTGGAACAACACCCTCCAGTACAAGTCAGTCAAACAATGTCCAGTTAATATCCTGGACGCTTCAGTTGTTTCTGGACACTTCAACCCAGAAGAAAGTAGAGACCTGATGAAGGCAAATACTGGAGACTAGAAGTAGGCACCAGCTGGCCAGTGCTACTGGGGCAGGAGTTGAGAGCAGAAGGCACTTTGCCAAGCACTACCCTTTCCCCTTATTTTTCCCAAGCTAGCCCTCTGGTTGGTTGAAAAAACAATTGCAGAAACCTCTTTGTGGTAATAGCTAGAGACTGTATTCTAATCATCAAAAGCTCTAAAGGGCTACAAAAATCTAGATTATTAGAAAACAGGGGAATCAGAAGTGGACCTCTGCAACATCTTTAAATTGCAGAATCTGAAGGCAAACCTACTTTAGCACAAATGGAAGCCTACACAAGGCTACATACATGGCCTCAAGTTCAAGCAGAACTACACTAAAGGTACATCAGGTGCATGCAAAAAATATTTTGAGAGCAGAAACTGTTCTCTATTTCAGAGGGCATCTGCCAGCATCTTTTCTATTCCTCACAGCAACACAAAGTCACAGAGCCTACATTCACTTGGTGTGAACAACTGGCCAACATCTTTTGATGGTAATATTTCACCTTCAACTGGATTCTTCCTCTCAGATGAGTATTTGGCTGTGTTCTCTCCTACAGAGACAGCGTAAGCTTTTTTAAAGCCAGGAGGAAAGCAATTCAGGCTTTTTTGGTAACATTTAGTTTCCTCGTGTTCCCACTAAAACAGCCAGACTTCAGCTCCATCCCGACATTAGTTCAGGGCCTTGAGTCTGAACAATCAAATCAGTGATGCCTTTTGAAAAGTTATAAACAGAGAAGGCATGTTCATCTGTGCCCCGTCAACACACTTACACTCCTCTGTGGGCAACACAGCCTCCAGAATAAACCATTTACTAAGGAGAGTTATTCCCATAGCTTTCAAAAATGTTACATTCAAATCACATGTATTACTCTAGTCACAAAGTCTAGGATAAGCAGGTAGTTTCCAGGATACTTAGAAGTACAGAGGAATGACCCAAAGGCATGAACACCTAAAGCTGTAAAACCAAGAGAGTTGTTCTCAAAGGTGATACAAATCCAAAATGCTCCAAGGAAATCACTCAACTTACTGATGAATTTAAAATCAAACCCATACCATTTTAAGGAGCAAATAGCTTTTTGTCCAAAAACTGAATGCATGCACAGTGAGCAGAAAAATCTCGGTGTGTTTTTCTGGATGACAGGATGTCAACTGTCAAAGATGCAGCAATGAGAATTTTATTAGCAGTGCTGTTGCTAACAGAAGGCCTCTCAACTCCCATTATTAGGACTGTTTCTACTAGTCCAGGAGTTACCAGAAGAGCTGAAATTAAACACAATTACTCTGACAGCAAAAACATCCTCCTAAACAGAATGAATGCTTGCTGTGTGTTGTGCTGTGACTGAATTACTTTACTAGTATTGGTAATGCATTGTCTCATTTTTCCAGAAGTACTTTTAAGTTTGAATGATGAACATGCTTTACAGTGTGTAGAATCACAGAATGGTTGTGTGGAAGGGACCTTTAAAAATCACCTGATCCAATCCCATCTGCCATGTGCAGGGACATCTTTCACTCGATCACGTTGCTCAAAGCCCTGTCCAACGTGACCTTGAACACTTGCAATGGTGGGGCATCCACAACTTCTCCGGGCAACCTGTTCCCTTCACAGTAAAAAATACAGAAGCATCCTGATGGGCTATTCTGTCTACTTTCTCACACTGTCTGCTTCCACTTGGCAAGACTGTGGTTTATTGCCCAAGACTCACCTACAAACATCAGCTTTGTGTAGTGCGCTGCCAGCAGCACTAGCCATGCTAAAGGACTCTCTGGCTCTTCCTTAGAGAACAAGGCGCCTGAGCAGGAGACTTGACTGAGGTAAGAGTGCAGGGCCAGGGAGGGGCAGCGAGAAGCAGGAACAGCCTTAGCGTCAGTACGGGACACAACGTGAAATGACAATACCCTCCGCAGCTGTTTCGCCACTCATCCCCTCTGTGCTGCAGGGGGCTACCGTTGCAGTCACCCCCTTGACCGACCCTCTCCAGAGCCTATCCCATTAGAACTCAAGGGCACGGCGGGGTGGTCGATCCAGCACCAGTACCTCTCCGTCTGGGTCGTACGCTTCCCCAAAGATCGTGGCCTACGCCCCCCACCCACTTCCACAACCTGGCAGC